TTTAACAAATGGTTGCCCAGTGTGGCAAACCATCCCGAGATGCTAGTCATGGACAGACTATAAAAGCTTTAACTGAATGAATGAATGAATGAATGAATGAATGAATTTTGTATCTTGAATGCCTCTAGCATGGGAGAGCCCACAACCTTTCTGGTCATCAGTTCTACTGGGTTGCTCAGCCAGTCGGGAAGTTTTCCCTCTTGTTCAGCTGCAACCTGGTTTCCTGTAACTTCAGTCCATTATTCCATGTCCTGCACTGTGAGATGATCAAAAAGAGATCCTGGCCGGCTGGAGGAAATGTTACAAAAATCCTTAGCTTTTAAACCTGAAGTCTTCTTATTAGGCATTATACCTGTTGATATTAGTAAACAAGAAATGCACTTGATTTTACATGTAATTACTGCGGCGAGGATTGCATTTGCTCAACACTGGAAAAGTGAAGAACCACCCACCGACGAACTGATCCTAAAAAAGATCTTGGACTGTGTGGAAATGGATAGACTGACTTTGTCATTGAAGGAGAAAGAAGATGCTGATTTCTATCAAACTTGGGACTCTTTTTATTATTGGCTAGAGAAACGGGACTTCGTATAGATTTAAATCTGTTTCTAAGTTATCATAAATGGAAAAAAAAATGTGAGGGCTGACCCAGCAGGCCCTATGTTTTCTGATGATTGATGTTGTTTTTAGTTTTTCTTTGTTTTAGGATTATTTTGAATAAAACTTATTATAAAAAAAAAAGTTCCTGGCCATCTTCCGCATGACAACCTTTCAGGTATTTTAAAAGTGTGACCCTATCCCCGCTTAGTAGTCATTCATTGAGGCTAAACATGCCCAGTTCTTTCCATCTCTCTTCACAGGGCTTTGTTTCCAGTCCCTGGATCATCCTCACTGTCCACCTCTGAACGCTTTCCAGCGTGTTTGCATCCTTTTAAAACTGTGGTGCCCAGAATTGTGCACAGCCTAACCAGTGCTGTGCAGAGGGGGAAAAGCATCTCACATGATTTGAAAATGGTGCTCCTTTTACGCAGCCCAAAATAGCACTTGATTTTTTTGCAGCTAGATTGCAGTGTTGACTCATATTTGTCTTGTGAGCTATGACGATTCCAAGACGCTTCCGAGATGTGTTACCTCTCTCAGTCTAAGAAGGTGCCATTGAAAAGCGCTCTTTGAGTCCAATTCTGTAGCCAGAACACTGTACAATATTCAAATGAAATATCAATCTTAGCCCGTTGCAGCATAAAATTGCAGCAAAATTGCAGCAAAATTGTCAGCAAATTCTCAGCTTAGCGGAGTAGCTAAGCAATTTGAACAGTGGATTAAAAGTTAAGATCGTGTGTTTTGAATAGGCCAAGGGGAAGACTTCAAATGGATGCACCTGATACAAGAGGACAACAAAGCTTATGCCTTAATGCATTCATTGGTCTTCAAGGTGCCACAGCACAAACTGTTTGCTGTTTTTTCTTGCCAGTGGCTGAATAATAATTTTAAACAACAGACATGAGTGCCATCTAATGTCCAGATCTGAGAAGTGCCAAGGAGCTTAGAGGTGATCTTGGCTGAGACTGTAGAATACAAAAGATAGAATAAACGTAGCAGGAAAAATACTGGATGAAGTTTTTCAAGGTTCAGCAGGGACAATATTGTGTGTGTGTCTCTATTTTTTCCCAGGTTGGCGCTTGGAGCCATGTTAGCTTAGGGTGCAGCTTTCTTCCAGAGGCGTTATGGGAATTTGTGGGCGAGCACACCTGAGTTTTGCACTCCTTGGAATTCACACTTACGGCCCCTAGTGGAACCCCCTTGTACACCACCCTCTCCATCGCCGATCATTGGGAAGAGTCCTTGTTTTGGCAAGTTAACAGGGTAAAATGCTTCTCCAAAGTGCTTTGAGCTGGACTTTGCGATTATTTTTGACTTTGCAATTATTTTTGACAGGTAACTCCTGTTACCTTTGGCTCACTGGAACGTGGACCTGAGTGCTTCTCCAAAATGGAGCCCAGCCCTTGGGCTGACTTAAGTCCTGTGCTCCTCAAACCAAACCTTCCGTGATGAACAGTATAGGACTGGACGCGTGGATGGATGGGGTCCCCTGTGACAGGGAGACTTCTCATCCATCACAGCTGTCCTTTGAGCTTTATCAGTGCTATCCATAGGGAGCACTGCATGGGTCACCCTTATCAAAGCTTCAACAGGTAAGAAGCTCCAGTAACACAGGAAGGGTGGTGCATTTAAGAAACATGCCCCTTTTTTTGATGTGGATGCTGGAAGTGAAGTCCCTAGAACAGGGGTCTCAAACTCAACTTACCTGGGGGCCGCTGGAAGTAGAGTCTGGGTGAGGCTGGGCTGCATCGAGTATTCCACCACCTCGGTGGTGGGGGGCCGCTCATCCCGTGTTGCTCCCGGAGGCCGGCCCGGGTGCTGCTGGTGCTTTGAAGGCCGCAGGGCCCCTCTCCCGTGTCCTGCCCATTCCGTGGGCTGCAAGTTTGAGACCCCTGCCCTAGAATGTAGTGCTGGTTCTGTGCATGGGGATGCAGGGAAACTCGGTTGCTAAGACTCCCGTCTCTGGATCCTTGCAAACATTTCAGGCTCTGCTGGCACTGCAATAAATTTGAGTGGTCAGGAAGCCTGGTTGCTTCTTTTGCAATGACTCACAAATAACCGACACTCCTGTTTGGTTTTCCTGGCTGATTCACCGCTTAGTAAAAGCACGGTCAGTGTCAGAGACACTTGGCACGCAGTGATGTATTCCAGATACTGTTGGATGTCCTCAGTTTGCATCAGACGGAGCAGCCTTGATAGGTAAGTGAAGTGTAGCCCTCCCACCTGGTTAATCCAGGTCACAGGTTCATTTGGAATTTATTTTTTTCACCCTGTGTGGCTCTGAAAATATGAGCTGCTTCAAGAGAAGTACTGAGAAAAGGAATATTCATTCATTCATTTATTAAAAGCTGTTCTATCCCACCCCCTACAGAACATCTCAGGATGACTTAAAATAAATAAATAAGTAGAATAAAACAAAGCCCACAGCATTCGACCATTAATATACTAAAACCCCTGTTAAAATCAATTAAACATTAAAATAATGGGAAACTGAAAAGGGTTTTGCCTGACGCCAAAAAGAATATAACGTTGGTGCCAGGCAAACCTCTCTGGGGAGCGTATTCTATAGTCGGGGTGCCACCACAGAGAAGGCCCTCCTCTGGGTAGTCCCCCTCCTAATCTCCTTCAGGGAGGGCTCCTGGAGCAGGACCTCCGACCCAGATCTCAAGGGATGGGAGGGCATATATACATGGCCAGAACCTATAAAACAGAAGTGAATTGTGGCATGTACTTAACATGTATTTAGTACAATTCCAATTGCCCGAGGTGTGCCATGAACACAAACGAAAGGGTGTCTACAGATGAATACGGGAATGGAAAAAAAAGCTAAGTTGTTTTCAGAGTCTTCAGCTGCAGACTAGTCCTCTTCTTTCTCGGACTGATGCCGAAGCGCAATCCTCTGGCTGGGACTGCAGTGTGGCCTGCAAAATTAGGGATATTCACAGCCTATCCATCACAGGCCACAGGCTTTCTGCATCTGTGCCCCCCCTCCTGTTCTGGCTGTGCGGACTGAGCCTTTTGCACCCCTGCGCATGGTCACAGGTAAAGATCTTCACATGTAAA